CTGAAAGCATTGTGAATAAAACACATCATACTGATACAGATCCCATTATGCTGCCAAAAGCACAAACATCACATATAGAACAGTCTCATTAGTCCTGAGTATTGAAGAAAAAGTTGATTGTGACAAGATGGCAAGAAGGAGTGCTATTGAAAGAAGGCAGGTACTAACTGACTTGGTTAACAACTTGATCACATGCAATAATCAGAAATGTTACAGGTTTATGTAGATTCAAGAGATTCATATAAGGCTACCAAATGCAATATAGCCCAAGGGAGAGCTGGGGAAAGACATGTCTAGACTTCTAACAGCAAGGATATTTCCAGGTCTAGGTGCTAGCTAGTGATCTTAGCAACTCTAGCTTGATAAAATGTTAACATTTACACCTTTGTCTGCTTTATGCTGCTGCATTTTAAGCAATTTTGCTCCGTGATTACTTCAGAACTGAAAAACTGCCACTTCACGGAATTTCAAATCGTTTAAGATCCAGGTGGAAGAAGCAATTTACATCTTGAACTAGTCTGATAATCATCAACACTGTTAAAGAAAATAATCCAATACTTAGTTCAGCAGATCTGGATATCACAAGTATTTATCTTCACCATACAGGCTTTTTATAGGTTTCTTTTTCTTTTCCTTTCTTTTCTTTTCTTTCTTTTTTTTTTTTTTTTTTTTTTTTTTTTTTTCTTTTTCCCTCATTGCATGTCAAAGAGAAAAGAGTACCCTTGTCAGCCCAGAGGAGCAATGATGTCAAATTGTCTCCAGGTTTAGGTTGTTGTCTAACATAGGCGAAGAATTTGAACCTAACTGTAGAGCTTCATCTATGCTGTCTTCAGAAGTGAGGCCAGCATCTACAGTTCTTCTGCATCTCTGCTTACTCAGCTTTTGACCAATGCCTGTTCATAATTCTTTCTGTTAGCTTGCACTGTATCTGCATGAAAAGCAATCCCCATAAGGATTTTATTATTATTATTATTATTATTATTATTATTATTATCGTCATCATCATCATCATCATCATCATCATGTTTCTGGAATGTCCCCACAGAAATGTCTGTAGCATCCCAAATAAAGAGTGGACATCTGTGACGTAAAAACAGAATATGTTAGCTGAGGTCTGGATCTTCTTAAAATAGGATTTTTTTTCTGAACTCAATGTGTTGCAAAACTGCATCCTGAGCGTCTCACACATCATATGACAAGCACATTTATTTATAATTGAGCTCTAGGCTGAGGCTCCTTTGGGCCAATAATTATTCAGTTATTCTAAAGTGTGTTACAAGTATCATTATGTATACAACTGGAACAATTTCAAAGGGACCCTGTGCAGAATTGTAAATATTCTGCTTATCAAGCAACTCACCTGCTATGGAAAGAAACAGCAAAGAGTATATCTGAGATAGAATTTCACATTTCCTTTGGGAATGTGTCCTATAAAGAGATTTTTAACATTCAAATACAACATGAGGATTATTTTATTTTTGGTTGTTTTGTTTTGGTTATTTTGTTTCTCTTTTCTCTGATGTTGTCCAGAACATGCATAATAAACCCAAGAAATCTTATATTGCTAGTCAAGTACTGCCTATTGAATTTGGAAGCTGCTAATTCCTATGTATTTTGAAGAAAAACCTGATTGTATCAATATAAACAAGTAATGACTCATCTGAGATACAGGAAACAATTCTGAAAACATGAGTACATTTTTAAAGCACACTGAAGATGTTCTTAGAGCAGCTAAGATTTTAAGAGCTTCTATGTGTAAAAATGAGAGCAGCAGTAAGAAAATTTGCAGTAATCATGAGTCAAGTAAGACTGTTTCTGTCTAATGAGAAGCATCAAATGATGCCAACTTTGTAAGTGTTTGAAAGAATAATTCTGCACAAATGGTCAATATTAAAAGCCCAGACACATCCAAGAAAAAGTTTTTTTATAGGATTTATCAACATGAACTTGTTGCGCATATTAAAAGGCAGTATAAAAATCTCCAAATAATAATGACACACAGAATGAGACCAGAAACATTACACAGAACCCACAGGTGTCTATCTGGATTTTGGGAAGTAAAACACTGTATAGAATGTCATATAAATGCTGTTACAGAAAACAAAAAGCCTGCAACAGCTATGGGAAATGATGGAGAAGAACTGTTGTTTCTTTTGAACTCACAGAGTAATAATGGAATAATTAAGCTAAAAACTGTGGTCTTCTTCAGGGGCAAAGGATATTATTTGAAAAACCAAAGAAAGCTGGGATTTTACTTTCCCCTCCCTCCAAACTCAGCAGTTAGATCACTTTCAAAGGACCAAAGAAAAAAAGGTGAATGGTTTGTCATTTGAAAGTGAGTTGTTGCCGACCCTGAATTCCCAGAGTTGACGTTTCTGGCACTTGCTGTAGGCATGTTGGCCAAATAATTCCTTCCAAGCTGAGCCCAGTTTCGCCTTGGCAGAAGCACCATATGGCAATGGGTGTCTTCGAGATATAAAGCCTCTTCAAACACCACTGAAGTGCTGCCATTGCCCCTCTCCTTTTAAGGGGGTGTAGCATATGCTATCCTGACTAGCTGATTAGCACTACTTAGAGCTAAATAGCAGGAGGACGACCCAGAGGGTCAGATTTTACCCTTCTCTTTGGACTGGCATATTCCACAGAGGAAGGCAAAATGTGAGTTGTCTTACACATAAAGGATGCAAAGAGATAGCATCTCTCATCTCTCTTAAAATGATGTTCTATCTCTAAAAGCACAATCTTTGATAAGTTATGACTCATTGTATTTGATCCACATGTTTTCTGAACAAAATATATATTGGCTGGGGACCATGATTTATTTATTTGGTTGGTGGAAAATAGCCTGGAGTATCACACAGTCATTCTACACTAGAAAGATGCAATTTTATCTTCTTACTCTGTTTTCCTTACGCGAGAAAGAAAAAAAAGAAAGGTAGTTGAGTCTTCTTTATGCAACGAGAAATACATTGAGTGTAACAACATTGTAAAATGATGTGCTTTGTGAAGTCCTGAATATGGTGCACATTTTGTGTTTTGTTTCTAATTGTTTGCTGCATACAAAAGGATAATTCATTAGGCCAATTCTCCAAATAATCTCAAAGCGACATGAATTCCTTTGCAGAGTGAATGTCTGTAGCAAGTAATCCATGGAAAACAGACAGGCATTCCTTGTCATTTTGGGGCTCTAATCCACTGCCTGGAGCATGAAAATGCTCAGGATAACAAGTGTGGGAATGACCAAAATCAACATTATTTTTGGATTTTATTTTCTTAACAATGCTGTTGGTCAATAGAGTTGCTGAATCTGTCAGATACAATGCCATGGGATTAATGAATTAAGCTTAGGAAGCAGAAGAATTTTTAAAAGAGGAGAGGGGAAAAGCTCCTTCTTTTCCACTGGCGTGTGAATATTAAGGAATGAAAACAGCAATGCCAGAATTTTCACTCTTGCTTTACCATAGCACCAAGTCTTGTTCTGCATGAGCCTTTACATTTTAATTAGAACCATACTGACACCCGCATTTGCAACTATGAACTTCAGCTTTAAAGTTAGGAATATTTCCTAGGCACTGACTTATTAGCTAGGTTTGACAACAGAAAATAGATGCTGTGTTCTGTAAAATTCAAAGTGTAGTGTGATCACCTTTGGTGGGATCAGACAACTGATTTTTAACCAAAGGAAAAAAAAAAGAAAAAAAGAAAAGAAGGGAAGAAATGTCACTTAGATGCTGCAGACACCACAGCACACTGACAGAGTTCTTATGGAAAAGTATAGAGCAAAATAAACAGAGGTCACCCCTCTCTCATGACGATAGTGCTTCGTCAAGGTTGATTTCCAACTTTTCTGTCATTATTGCATGAGGAATGCAATACATGACACGTTTCAGTATCAGACACTACTTTTCAGATTTCATATTAAATCGACATTCAACTCAGAGAAGAAAATTTAATTAACCATCACTCAGGAAGGGGTTGTTCAGATGTGTGGGAGGGGAGAGTTTCAGTTTGCTTACATGTTTGTATTTACAGCTCTCTAACATTTAGAAGACCTCTGGGGATTTTATATGTCCTTTTGTTTAAACAAACAAAACTCTTTATCTGCCTTTACTGCATAAAAATATAAGGTTAAAATAATCAGAAATTTGAAGGTTTGGAACACTTTTAAGAATGCTTCAGAGAATCCTCCAATGTAATTTATAAGCCCCTCTAGACCTGTGCATGTCTCGAACTGACTGCTGGAGTGGGCTTTGCGAGGAATTTCTTCTGCGGAACCGGAGTAGTGCGGGAGGTGGGGAGGGTGGGAGGGTTGGAGCAACCTTCCCTAACAAGGCTTTAAAAGCTTCAGTGGTAAAGTTATGCTGATGGAATACTTCGTTACTTGTTTCTAGCTGGGAGCGACCCAAAGAGGATTATGTTATGGGCAGGAGATGTTATTTATGTGGGTAGCAACATTGTGGCTTGCGTTGTGCTGTTGTTTTTCAAGGGGGACGAACACCTTTTAATTAGAAGCATAAAATGAAATATTAACAGAAAAAAA